TGCAGTGCTAAGCAGTGTTCCATGATCATACTTTATTATGTATGCATTTAGAGGATAATGCTAAAGGAAAAAAAAAACTTTTTTGTTAGGCTTTATTTGTAGCTTTTTCTTTCGTTTTATTGCCTTATTTCAAGTTGATGACGAAGCGCATATGTAAGTAGACAGTAAGTGCATGTTGTTTCTAAGGATTTAAGTGAAATTAAAATTTACACACACACACACACGCTACGGCGAAAACCAGAGTAGACAAAGTTCGCTGGTTCAATGGTGTGGCATGTCAAAGGGAAGTTTCAGTAAAAAGGCGACTGATTGTGAAACTACAGACGCGCCTTGGCGTGAGACCATGAAGTGCAGGAAAAAATGCGTAAAAAAGAAGACGAAATGAAGGGATTAAATATACATAGGTGGCATAAAAAATATGCGTAAATTAAAATATGTCAGTAGGGATGTGAAAAAAAATCTAAGCCAGACATTGGCCTAGGAGCCCTTCATTCCCTCATTTCATCTACTTCATTTCTTTCTGGAGGATCTTTTCAAAGGCAGTAAAAGGAGTATAAAAAAACATCGGTCCGCAGATACTTAGTAAACCTTGAAGCCTTAACAGCATCCTCGCGAAGCACGTAGGTCTTTGGTAATATGTTCACTCAATGTTTTAAATATTCAAGTTGTTGTTAAAGCCACTCGTTGGCTTATAAAATAAGTGCTTTTGTAAGGCAGTGTATTGTGGAACGGAATTTGTTGAAGGTAGAGCTTGAAACGTGGATGCATTTTCAATGCTACACGATAGCACAGCACCATTGCCTATGTTAAAGATCACTACTATGTTGACCTAGCGGAAGCAGAGTGCTGGTCTAATATTAACACTGAGCCTAGGCTTATACTTTACCGAATCTTTACTTATGGCTCCAAAACGGAAACAGGGTCAGGACCTGGATGGAAGCATAAAGTGCTCTCATTTTTTAGGTTAATGAGACACCTTACCATTTCGCTTGAGAGGGTACGGACCTGATATTCCTTTTTCTGCAACCAGTTATCGTACTTTCCCACCTTCGGCCATTGAAGTCATCGTCAGAGACTGAGTTAATTTGGTAACCAGGAACCAGTGAAGACCTGCAAGTGAGCAAAACTCACGTTACCTTCAATCTGAAGAAGTATGTCGGAGTTCATTAATTAGTTCAGATTATTTATCTTATAATGAAGGACATAAGTGTAATTTAGGTACTGAATGCAAGTTTCCATTTTTTTTTGATAAATGTGCATGAAAGCTGATATAGGTACCGATATATTTTTGAATTGAGAAATCTGATAGCGATTTTAAACTTATTTGACGTAGTAAATGGTCAGCTGCAGAATTACCGAAGTGGAGAAAATATTTAATGCAAAAAAGTATTTAATGAAAACAGAAATTCCTGCTGTGGATGTGGGTGATTTGAGGTCCGAGCGAATTAGTTATGAATTTATGTCAGTTATGATGAGATTCCATTACCCAGAGTGCCGTCGTTAGCTAAAAAGTCCCATTTTCATGAGGAGGAGAAGAGTTTTTCTACCTATTTCTTAACTCCTTTTTATTTTTCCTGTTTCGGACTAAAAACAGCATATAAAGAACTAAAAAAATGTGGTATTCGATTCTTGCGACCATAGGAAGGGGTTCCTTGACATAAGAACAGCAAAAAAAAATATAATGTTAATTTTTCTTCAGTCCATTGGATACTGTTTTCAGGTCAAAAAAGGGCAAAAATTTTAAAACCCTATATTCGAGTGTGATATATGTACCTGTAGTTACTAATTTTAAAGTTCAAGGTAATACTAGTTTTCCTAGCTACTTAAGTTTTCGAGATATTAGACTTTTGCACACAAAAGTTCATTTTCCACACTGTGTGACGAAAATATTACTAAACACTATTGCTCTCAAGCTTGCATTTCAATGCAAAGTTAAACTGGTATACTATAAAACTGTTAAGCAGGGATCACACGATTTGTACATTTTCACAGTTACAGAGAGGTTTTGTTTGGAAAGTTGTTATTGAGCTGAACTCATTGCTGATAAAAATTTCTAGACAAAATCTGTGACTGCAAAATGTACAAATCATGTGATCTATGCCTTATGCTGCTTTACTCATATACTGTCATAATGCTAAACTATTATACTTTTATACTGCTACGCTGTACATATACTGTACACTGTTATACTGTACTAATATAAAGTTATTATATTGTTTCTATTATACTGTTACACAATTATACTGTTATACTGCAATGCGATAATGCAGTTAGGCTGTCGTACTGTTATACTGCTATACTGTTGAAACAAATGTTTTACTGTTATAATATTCAACTGCTCCATCAGCGTTGCCAAACTTGGGCGCTTCCGGCCAAATCTGGTCGGATTAATTTGCTTTAGGCTGTTGGGTGGCTAGAACTCATTTTTGCCCGGTTTTGTAATATGAATATTTTTTAGCGGACAAAATTTATTCTGTGCCTACAAATTTGCAGTTTTTTCGTATGTATAAAAAATTACAGTACTCGTAATGAAACGGCTCCAAGTTGGGCGTTTTCACACTAAAATGAGAGAAGAATAAAGACCCGCTTATATTGGAAGTAACGGGACGAAGTGAACTGTCACTTAATTATCTATTATATAAGAAATGAATACAAATGGTAATAAGGTAATGTAAAGTGGAAGAATCTAAAATCCATAGATACCTACGAAATCGCAACGAATCAAACAAATCAAATAAAATCTTTTACTTAATTTTTATAAAGAAACAAAAAACTCGGGGATCTGACTAAACTTTTTGTAAGAAATTATTAAAACATACATACATACATTGTACATAGCAGCTCCACTGGGATTTAAAGGCGGATTCAGCGTTCGTGTTCAGACAACTTTTAATTTGCTCTCAAAACATTTTTGCCGGAGAGGGTGCTGAAGTACGGTTCAGAATTCAGTTCGGCAAATTTTATTTTGTTTTAAAGCAAACAGCTGATGATTATTGATTATTGCCTACATATGATTTTGATTGCAAATAATACATACAATTCCCTACCAACGCACATAAAGGAGAACGCGGCAATCCGAATCATCAAGTCGTTCGGACAGGAAATCAAAATCAATTTGATTCGAACAAAGAGTGTTCAGCAAAATTTTGTCGCGCTCTCAGTGAGATATAGTGGAAATGGCCCACAAAAAAAAAGAGTCCAGACACGAACGATGAATCCGCCTTAACTGTTATATTTTTATAATGCCATGCTTTTTTACACTCTTCTGCTGTTATGCTGTTATACTATTATACTCTTGTACTGTCATACTGAAATACTTTCATACTGTTATACAGCTATGCCATTGTATTCTCACATGAGTATTAATGAGTTAAACTTCCAACTTGCTTGCTATTGCACAATTCAATGCCCAACACTCTTTACCAAATGGCCAATCCTCCTTTGCATGATCCGCAGTGCGATAAAGAAATATCATTGAAAGCCTAAAACGAACGCTGTACGTGCTAATTTAATCCAGCCTGCTCATATATTTATTAACACCCCACATCGCTCGCTCACGCATTTTATTATGTTTTCCCGCGCTCCAATGCATTTGCGCAGCCAAATGTTAAACACCACGAATGTAAGTTAAGTCATTTGTTTGGCTTATGTTGGCTATGAGCAAGGAACGCGTCCGAACAATGGGTGTTAAGTAGTAGCATTGTTTTTTTTCTGATTTTTTTTTTGCCATTCACTTTTTACACGCGGCCACAACAGTCACAGTTCGTAGGTACATTCAAAGTCAAAGCCTGTCAGCTGTCATGTTGTGCCGTCATTTGTAAATAATGCAAAACATTAAGGCTAACAGATGTTCGTGACCTTGTGTTTATGGTGTGCGCGTGTCATTGGTACGTTAGTTAGTGGCTGTCATTGGTATACTGGTTTAGCTACAGACAGGCAAATCAAATGAATTTTGGCGCAATGCTAGTGGCCAGTGCCACACGCACTCGTACACATACTACACAATTCAAACAAATATACTTGTACATTAGGGTGGTCCAAAACAAAGTTTAAAATGTTAAGCTCTAACCCCCTAGGATTTTTCTAAATGTATAAGAATACCCGAATTTTTTGTAAAAAAAATACTTACTTAAATATCTAAATGTTCTATTCTCATTTGTCTGTAAGAAAAATTTCTCTGTAGACCAAAAAAATAAATAAATAAATAAGTAAATATTTAGAACTTCCTCAAAGCTCACGAAGTTTTTCATGTGTTTGATATGGAGAGAAACACCTTTTCGTAGAAATGGTACATAATGCTTGAAAATTAATATTTCTCGATTGGAAATCTCCGCTTATCTTTAGGCGATATTCAATAAGAGTACCAAAGTGTTTATTTCTATTTTTTAATACTTACGAGATTTTATGGGTGCCTACATTACATTTTTTGGGTATTTCGGGGAACTATAAAAAATAATTAATAATAAAAAATGGTTAAATAAACAATTGGGTACTGTTATGCCAAGTCTGCAAAAAGGAAACTGAATTTTTCCATTTAAAAATATTGATTTTAAAGAATTCTATACCATTTTTGCCAAAAAGTATTTTTTCCCCATATAAAACGGACGAGCAACTTCATGGGCTTTGAGGCAGTTCTATATATATATATATTTTTTTTTTAAATATGGGTATTCTTTTTTCGTTTAGAAAAATCCTCGGGGGTGAGAGCTTAACATTTAAAACTATTTCTCCCCGCATGTATTTTTGGACCACCCTATTGAGCATGCTTATGGCTATACGGTGCGCAGATTAGTTTTTTCTTTATATGAATGTATGTACAGCAAGTAAGCTGCATATTTGTACATTCACATTTCGACTGCTCGGGACTAACGCCTAAGGTGCGTGTTAGCGGTCATTTGGTTACGTGTATAACGGTAATGGGCATGACTATTGGGTTACAGTGTACTGCTGTCAGTCTGTGACTTTTGCCTTAACGCCTAAAAATATGCAAGTTAATGTACCTTATAAATCATCCATTTCAGACAGGGCGGCCAACCGTCAGGTCAGGCTTGTTGAGAGTTGGCAGCATTGTTGTTGTTGGTGTTTTGTTGTTTTTTTTAGTACTTTTTTCTTCTTGCTATGCTCTTTTTTTAACACCAACAACTACTATTTTCATTGTCACTTCACAGCAATTGGTGTCATCCGCTTCCGTTCACTTGTTCGTCCATATTTTCTGCACTTTTGCTCACGCCTACCGTATTTTTTTTTGGTAATTTTTCTTTTAGTTTTTTTCTACTTTCTTTTACTTTTTGCTTCACTTGTTTTTCACTTTCATGCCACACATTTTATA